AAAATTCGTAATCAGCTCGATATGAATTATATACAATACATTATGTACATTATCATATATATATATATATATATATATATATATATATGTCTACACTATGTTTAAGTATTCAGTTGAAATATTAAGCTTATATGAATAATAAAAAACCGTTATTTATGTATCATTGCTTATACGCAATATTAATAAATAATAAACAATACTATTAAATGCTCGCTTTAATAGGTTAAATTTAATGTTACTTTTATATGACATGTTAAAATCTATTCTACATGTGAGGTGATTTTTTAAAAATAAATAATAAATTGAAAATAATACGTAGTATCGTTTAATCGTACGTGTCGTCGCAATATGTAGTGAAAAAATATTGGTTTAAAAAAAGGTTCGAGCAGCGACTTGAGAAAGTGTATAGTTCATTTTTGTTTGAATACTTTGTAACGTAATAATGTCGATAAAGGAATGATATCGAATAATGTAAGTGAAAATTTTTACATTAGATCAATGTCTTTGCAAATGCTTATATTCAGTAATTTATTGTCATTGGGAAAAAAATCCTCTCGTACGAAGTCTGTGTAAGTCTCTAAACAAATAATTGGATTACTATGTAAGTCAATATTATGAAATCTAACTCGACCTTGGAGCATATTTTCACAAAGCGGCTCGATGTTGATTTATTTTTTGTTTTTATTTTATATATATATATATATATATATATATATATATATATTATAAGAATACACATTATATTTGGTTTTATAAATTCAATATTCTAAAGCTATTTTTACATTTGTGTATTTGCATTTGTGACTGAAAAGAGCGAGTTTTGAAATTGGGAATTGTTTGAAATAACTACAATATTAATATAGCATTTTTTTCCGTTACAATGCGGCGTGTCAACTGCAATATTATGACAACGGCAATAGCTATGGAGAATTTGTGTCTTTTCGTTGGAAAACCAAATGCCTTGATCTGAAATTGGAGTTGGAGTGCTTTGGCGTCGTTATTGCGCGCTTAGGCGCACAGTCGAGAGTCGTCAATTTTCATTCATGAGACATGAATTCCATTTCCTTTTCCTTTGCCCCATCGCATTTACCGAAAATATCGACATTAACGTCACGGTCCACGGTCGTGCGAGTCCACAAGAGAAAGGAGCTGCTCGTTAAATCAGTACCTCGGCCCCGGGACGATCCGTCCATTACAATACGAATCGAAACCTTAAAAGTCATTACTAAGATTTGCAGCCGTACGAGGCTAATTTGCTAAATGGCCCAGACGACCGTAGACCACGAAACGGTGACTACGCCACCACTGGCACACAACGAAATTTTGTCCTTGGCTCTTCTCGGGGGGAGGAACTCGCAATACGACGTAGATGTGCGATCGACATCAGTCACCATATTATGCTTACGTCCTAATGCATAGACGTCCGATAAGATAACGTACGTGAAATATAGAGGCCAATTTACGTAATTTCTCTAACAAGTACAATACACACGTTTGTATTCGGTATGTAAATTGACGAGTAAAGCCAGGAATCGCTTACGAAATAAGTACAGCATGGCTGTGTAATTGTGGCCAGGTGGATTGATATCGGATATATAGACGAGTTGCTAAATGTCCGTAGGATCGACGTAGGATCTGTCACGCCAATGCAATTTCCATTTACATTTCTAATGATCTTGTACTCTCACGATCGATATTAAAATCAAGCAGCGAAAGAATTTCTTCCACTTACAATGAAATTATGATAATCGGCGCTCTGTCATTTATTCAGTTCATTCGATAATTTGTGAAAAGTGCGGGCAACGTCAGACTCATCGAACGTTAATAAATTATCTTGTAAGCGGACGTAGCCCACTTGGCTCGCTTTAACATCCGCAGCTGTTTGCAAGGGCTAATGCGCCACTACCATGAGTTAGGTAGGGGAGGGATGGCGGGGTGGCCAGTGGCTGGATTGAAGGGCTCGACCCGAATAAGTCTGGAGCAGAGCGCTAGACGTGGATTTAAGGAAGGCCGAAATATAGGGTCAAAGTTCAGGGAGATTCTGTCGGCACACAGGTGTATTTTTACCCAGAAGGCTAGCAGGTCAGCTCGTTAATCTACGAGTCTGCGCATCCGTACGTGTGTAAGCGACTTGTGCAGATGGTGCAAGTGGAGCGCGCGCGTAGTAGTGGTCTAGTAATATAAGGGCGTGTGTTTCGGTGGGTAGGTGTGCGCTCGTGCGTCGTTGGATGCTGAATTGTGGATTATCGGGGGAGGAACAGTAGGCAGGCGCACGAACTTGATTCGTGCCTCATCTTTGTAAACCGTCTTGTACATCTATCATGCTCTCCTCTCCTGTTTTCGCTAGCATCTCCTTTCCCTTGATTTTAATTAGAAGCTACATCGCGCAGGTGTTAAATGAAAGGCAACATTTGTCCTCGTGAGATTCCAAGGTCCGTGCCATTTCGACTTGAATTCGTGACAGAAATTTTCCTTTGCAGAGTCAAGTTACACAATGCTATACGGGGATATTCTATTGTGTCGCAGACAGATCGAGGCATATTTAAAAATTTGATAAAAAATTTGAAAAAAAAATTGGAGAAATTTCTTCAATCTAAATAATCCTGGATATCAAGAATTACATTTTCTTTTTTCTTTCTTTTTTCTTTTTTTTCTTTTTTTTTTTTTTTTTAATTAAAAAAGACGATTTCTAAAATAACAATAAAATATATTTTGCTGTTGCAAGGCTTCATCGATTACTCTGGGAGCTACGTAATGTCAAATTTTCGAAATAATAACTGTGATGTGCCTTGTGTTCTTTTCAGAACCGAATATATCTATAATCTAACTCATACTATGTAATATTCATATAATTATTCTTAATTTTTTAATAGTTAGAATTTTGTAGAAAGTTGTATTCAATTTTCAATGCATGGGATATAATTTTTTTTTCGTACTCTTAATTTACGATTGAGTTATAATTCAAACTTCAAACATCCTTGCTGCCTTCCTTTTCTTTAGCTTCAAGAGCTTTGCTTTTTCTTTTTTCTTTTTTTTTTTTAACTATGCATTCTGAAGTTGGCTGTACACTCGTACATAACTTTTAATTTGTAAGTATTTATAAATTTGAATAAGTATTTGAATAACCAAGGGCTTTCATAACAGCAGTCGGTTAAATCTTTAGATATATTGTTATAGTAAATTAATACAAATAATAAATTAATACAAATATTAAAAATAATTTATTTTTACTCATTTGAACAATTTTTCTAAAGAATCGTACTTTAAATGACAAATTATGTATAGACCCTATTGTTAATCAACCCAATAAATTGCGAATAATTACTACAGATTATTTCCAGATTGATTTAAATAATTATAGTATTTAAATGATTTTCAAATCATATTTAATGTATGATTTTAAATATATAATCAAGGAAATTATTTAATATACAAAAAAATATTCAAAAGGTAGATATGGCATAAATAAAATATAGATTTATATTTTTTATATATAATAATTTACGTAATTGTTAAATTATGTCAAAATATGTGTGTGCGCGCGCGCGCGCGCGCGCGTGTGTGTGTGTGTGTGTGTGTGTGTGTGTATGCATGTATATGTATTATGGTATCATTGCTTATTTTTGTTATTGTTTAGTTTTCATAACCTGATATTCAATATTATTTTTGCGCAATACCTATAATTATTTATTATATTAATTGATTAAAATAGAAATCACAATAGAAAAATAGAATTAGATATAACACATAAAAGCTATAAATGTGTGTTACGTCGAATAATTTTGAATACATATTATTAATATTTATACACAATGATACGGGAAGTTTTTAATTATACTTTGTTATCTTTGTTTCAATTGTCATAAACTTACCCGCGTGTATAAATGATTAAGTAGGTATAGTTATACTATACGTTGATTTTAGAATTAGAGAACCGATGTGAAGAAATCAAATGTCTCCTATCTCATTTTTTATATTATTTAATTACTTAACAATTGCAGTCTCACATAATTAAGTTACAGTATATATGTTAAAGCAATAAATACGTATTTTTTGTGTTTGTTTAAGACAAAAAATATTTTGTTAGATATTTGATTATCGATAATAAAATAAAATTCAAATATCATAGACACATCTATATCAGTAAATTATAAAGATGAATAATGATTATAGAATGCATAACGTATATAAAACTGTAACTTTCCAATAAAAATAATATAGGCATAAATAAATATGCATAAAAATTAAATTAAATATTTGTATGTTAAATTAATTAAAAAATAGATTCGTAAGTAGTAAAATAGTATATTATATTTTACTTAAACAAAATAAAAAGTATATTATTCATTGGAGATATTAGTTTATTAGAAATATTGAAATAAATATGTGATAATGACATTGATTAATTAAATTACAGTTCGCTATAAATATATTAATTTACTACTGAAACCAAATTGTAGATTTTTTTCTAATTAAATTATGCATAATATGTGTTATAGTTACGATACATAGTTGTTATTACTAATAACATATAATTAACTTTCTATTACGTTTACGTGAAATGCTGTATTCATTCAAGTGAGGAGGACTTTAATAGAGAGAATGCAATAATTCTTTATTAATGCTTAATTTTTCCTACTTAATTTACTACTTAGAGACAATGCAATTAAATATAGTTTATAAATAAATTTAAGCGGTAAGTAATATATTCTCTCTAAAGTCTTATAAAAAAAACGCTTATAATATTTTGTAAATTGTCGAAAATAACGTTATATTTTACCTACACAAATATAATACATAAATAATTATTGCTCCGAATAGATTCTTTAGTGGGTTAGTATTATAATAGAAATGTTAACTGATTAACTGCCAAACATAATGATACATTTAATAAATTTCAATTTAATAATGGGAAAAAATGTGAAGAATATGCAATAAACAATGAGGTTATATTTTTATTGTATAAATATTAACGATATTATTCTAAATCTTCTTTTCAGATTTGACGATGGCGGCTACCACTATCGAACAATTATTTCCAGATTCAAAGACGAATTTAACAACGATAAAGTGGGCTCATAGAGTAAATAGTCAAGATGATTTGAATAAAGCTCTTGAATCAAGTAAGAATTTTAAATAATCTATAAACGTAATTATTGAATTAGTAAAATCATGATATCATACAATGTAATAGTTATATCATAATTATGACTATGTAATACAATTGTAATTTTTTTTTTTAATATAATTGAATAGAAATCAAAAGCGATGATGTTGAACGTCTGAATTGCTAGAAGAGAACTAGTAGAACTAACGTATGAATGTATTAATATTCTTAGATATCATGTAACTTCGTAACAATGATTTGAAAAACTAATATAAATATAAAAATGTCGTAAGACATATATTTAAAAATTTAATACCATTTCTTAGATATTTTATATGGGATAAATGGAAAAAATATTTTAAGAGTCTTTTGTTCTAGTCTCTTCATTATGGGATTACAATATTGGAAAATATTTTCTTAATAAACAAACTATTTAGATTTTATGAAACGTTGGGTGGAGCGAATTAAAAAATGTATTAAGTGTATTCTATGTACGATATCGAGTTAATTAATTTCTCATTTTTATTATTTAAGTCCGTTTATCATAATATCTTCAATTTTTTATGTTGTATAGATTCTTTTCAATTTTCCCTTTATATTAAAAAATTATAATTCATTTGATGAAGTAATAAGCGTGTCATTGCTATCTGTACTCTTCTACAACTAATAATAGTGCTAATAAAGGCCATAATTTACATAGATCCTTAAAAATGTCTATCGCTGATACGCATCATTGATAAGGTAATCAATATAAAGCTCGAATAGATCTGGCAGATAACTTATTAATTGAGCAAAGGTAGCCCGAGTCTGAAATACGTAAATTCAATAGTGATTAGTTAATTAAGGATGAAGAAGTTGGGATTTCATCACGAACGTAATGTGTTGTTTCGATCCACAATTATGAAATATTCATAGGCACGATGGGCGCGGCGAGGATATTTGGGCAGTAAAGGCGACATAATAGCGACGTCCTCGGGTGGGTGCACGTATGGCCGTACATTATTTTTATATTTGCGTGTCCCGTCGTCATAGTGCCTCGGCGGCTCTTTGCATTTATGACCTTCGGTGCCGTGTATACGCGAATCGGCGACTCACGCGCTACGCGCTTGGAATTTTGTTTTCGCGTCATAGGCGACTAAGACCCTCGTTACGAATTCAAAGGGGGATTCTTTAAGGCAGTCAGTCAGCCATCCTTTTCTTTCGTCGATATAAATTATACGTGGATGCAAGATCACAAGGTTCGTACATTTTTCCAATTCGCCTTCCTCTATGAGCAGTTGAGAGTACATGTTGAGTTCTGAATATAGGTCAACTCATTACTTTTATTGGCCGATTGGACCCCCACTTTTATTGATTGAAAGGCTTTTTATCGTTGTTTAACATTATAGTTATTCGCGAGAGTAAAACATTGTCGTTTAATTTAATTTAATAAATATCGAGGTTACTACAAAAGAATATTTCTACATTATAATATCGATGATAAGTGGCTCGAAGATAATCGTAGAGCGAAGTTTTTTTTTAGGTGATCTTTATAAATGAGCATTGTCAGTTTGCGTTATCGATAAATTGCCCCGTGAATTATTTATTTACTATTCGTACGTTATAGACGTATGGGATCACAGTCATTCGTGCATATAAAAAAGGCGTCCGATTGATTGCGGGAAGAAAAGGTAGAACAATAAATGTAACAAGCAGTATGAAAAGAAATTTTTTAAATTAAAGGAGCGAGTAATTGCTTTAAATAGAGAAACAAGTATCGATTGAATGCAACGATGAAAGCATTAGAAGAATAAACTTATTCTATTAGGAAGCTATACCATTGGCTAATACTTTATGTATTCTGTTATGCAATAACATTATTTAATTAAATATCAATTGAGTTCAAATCCGTAATAAACTGATACAAAAGATTATGATTGCATTGGTTTAATTTTTTTGGAGCACGCCAACGTACGTTAATATTAATAAAACATACGAGTATATCAAGTTAAAAAATAATTACAAAGGAATAATAACATACGAATTTTTTTGTTTGTTTTTGATTTTGTTTTGCTCTGTCCATTCGAGAGATATCGGAGAAAATAGATCAAAAAACTATTTTGGAACGAGGAGCACATTTTCATAAATAATCTCAAAGTAAATTTGAAGGTTAATATTGTTTGTTCCGTAAGCTTAGGCGAGAGAGAAAGAGAAACAGCAATTGATAACCGTTGTGAAAGGGATTGGGGATGGGGGATGGGGGATGGGGGATGGGGGTTGGGGGGGGGGGGG